TTCAACATAATGATGACTGGTAGATAATTAGTTATTAGTGGTACTGCATTTTAATTTTAGAAAGCGCAAATCTGCTTATGAATTATAAAAATTAGTGAGATCGCTAAAGCGCAAAAGAAATATTTAGGTCCGCAATTAGTGGATTTGCGCTTTAGCGGGCTGGTGCCCACCACTGCAAACACCAAATAAAGTATTTATCATCAACCTTTTTTTAATTTTGTTGTATAATTAATGTGTGTACTCAGGTAAAGGCAGTGAAGCTTGGTCACATACTTGTGATTGACGAAGCTGACAAAGCTCCCACTAATGTTACCTGCATCCTGAAAACCCTGGTGGAGAGTGGAGAGATGATCCTGGCAGACGGTCGCAGAATCGTCTCAGGTATRTCCACAAACACAAATACAGTTCAGACAATCAGAGGCTCATTAAAAACACAAGCTAATTTTCTGAGCCACTAAAAGATGCTTATGGGACAAGATTTACCAGGTACCAGATAATCTTAGATTAGACTATTAAAAAAGGAGCAGTTTTCCATGTAGCTCCGTGTTTTCACACTCTCCTTTCAAGAGGGGCTTTAATACCAGTGGGATGTAAACACAATCTCAACTGTCTTGATTTCTTGTATATAAAGTTATAAATTAGAGGGAAATATCTAATTCAACTGATGCATTTCTGCTAGTTTTTAACACTCTTTCTGTTTGTTTAAAGATCCAAATGAAGCAAAGAAGAGGCCCAACGTCATAGTCATGCACCCAGACTTCAGGATGCTCGTCCTGGCTAACCGACCTGGTTTTCCTTTCCTGGGCAATGATTTTTTTGGAGCATTAGGTACACAACCACTCATGCACTCACTTGTAGCAGAGACTACAAACAGTCACCAACAAACACTCWATGTGCAGGGGGCTGTGTTCATCACAGGGCCACTTAAAGGCAAACAAGACCAACACCCATTCAAACTCTCACTTACACTTAGGGAGAATTTAGAATCACAAATGGACCTAACATGCACATTTTTGTTTGTGCCATGCACTATACTATAAATTACAATATGATATGATATAAACCAGGGGTTCTTAACCTTTTTGACCTCGGGGCCCAGTTTATTGAACATAAAGTGACACGAGGCCCAGTCAGACATTACCAATGTACAGATCAACATGATAATTATTCTAAATCTTGGTTTAGTTAAAAACACTATATTTGCCTATTTCTCCATACACCATTTTTTGGACTTAATCCTTGTTTCGATGTGATGGGTCACATTTCATTCTACAAAAAAAATTCAGGATTTTTTTACAGTGTTCTGTGTACTTTTAAACTTCAATTTTTGTCATAA